TCTAGAAATATTTTTTTCTCTCCACTCCTACTTTTCAAGAAATACTTTTATTCAGCTCTTTGTGGTCATCTTTGACATTAATGTCTCTGTTCATTTTAGGACCAGTCTTTAAGTCATTCCCATGACATGACAGTGAGAAGGCTCTAGGGCAGAGAGAGGATAGAGAGGAATCTGCCAAGTGCAGTCCAAGCAAAAAGGGCTTTAATGGAGGGGAGAAGTGACTAGGGAAGCTCTCCATCTGTAAGCATGGCTCACAGTTCACATTCCCCCGTATCGGAGTATGCCTAATTGGTTTTCCAAGTAGACTACAGTTTATTTGGTTAAATGATGTCTATAAAAGTGACTCACTGATTTATTCTACTTAACAAAATATTTTCAATGTACCTTAGAGAGACACAGTCTTTTAAGGGCTATGGATCTGATCACTAGTCAGCCATCTCCATCCACTATGAGTCTATGGCAAGATTTCAGCACTTCTTAATGTTTTCATGGTAGAAAATTTTGAGTTTGTTTATATATACAAATCTACAACTTTGTGTTTTCATTTTTTTCCTTGGATTCATCTTTTTAGCTAAAATTGTATTGTTTATTTATTTTGCGTTTATGTAAGAATTTACTGTCAAAAATAACGATTTTTCAAAAATTTAGGTTTTTTACATCACTCATATTTATTTAAAATTTTACATCAAAACACTGCTTCTGAAAAATATAAATGAAAACTACATACAGATTCCTTGATGAATTCTTGAATGAAATTAAATCTTGACTTTAAATATTGTGGGTTTTTTTAGAAAATGGAATATAAAAGTAGTTACTATAGTCAGCTAACATGTATTAAATGTGTAGTGTTCTGTTTTATGCTGTTTTCTATTAAATGGTTTTTGTTTATGTTAGAGGAAGAATGATTTTTTAAAAAATATATATATTTTTATTGATTTTTTTACAGAGAGGAAGGGAGACAAATAGAGAGTTAGAAACATCAATGAGAGTCATCGATCAGCTGCCTCTTGCACACCCTCTACTGGGGATGTGCCCGCAACCAAGGTACATGCCCTTGACCAGAATCAAACCTGGGACCCTTCAGTCCGCAGGCCCATGCTCTGACCACTGAGCCAAACCGGTTTCAGCGAGGAAGAATGATTTGAAGTCATATTTGCATAGTTACTTCTCCTGCCATTATCATTATTCTTGATTGTTTATAAATTTTTATAAATTATACTCCAGCTGTAATAATTAAGAGAAAAAACTGATAGTAATTTAAGATATTGTGATGTCAGAAAAGATGTTGCATTTCTGGAGGCAAAATAAAAAACGTAAGTCTTTAAGAAAACAAAGTAGAAAAAATATTTCCAGAGTTTGTATTAGTCTATATTTTTAAATATATATGATTGATCGACTACCTCCTGCAATACCCCCTACTGGGGATTTAGCCCACAACCCAGGCATATGCCCTTGACCAAAATCGAACCTGGGACCCTTCAGTCTGCAGGCTGACCAAACCAGCTAGGGCTAGTCTATGCTTTACTTTGAAATGTTATGAGGATGTTTTTATTGGTTGTATAATAAACATGAGGCTATGTTTTAAAATAAGTATAACAACTCAGCCATGCTTTCACATGTATACTGAACTGTATTATTTTGATTTTTTTCATTTCAAAATGGTTCCTAATAGTCCGTATTAAATTTTTCAGTTTAATACATATTAAAATTTTCAGTTCATGAAATTTAAAAAATTTAAATTTAAAAAAGTATTTTATCACTCTTAATGTGACAAAAATGTAGCTGGTAAGTACAAATAAAAAATAATTTTAAAATAGAAGTAGTTAACCAGGTAAGGTTAAACAAGAAAAAATTATTTATGGCCATTTTATAAAATAATGATAGACTTCATTCTAAGCTGCAATGTAAAGTGCTTTCTTCTGAGATTATGTATTGTGGCAGAAGCTGAAACTGCCTTTTCCTAACAGTGCCAGAATACGGCCTCTTTTTCTTTTTTGCACTAACAAGACTGCTTTACCACCACGGCCCACTCTTAAGTAATTAAATCAATCCTTTGTACTTACCGTATTCTCCTCTAGTGACGGTACTAGATCTGATTATATGCTTCATGCATATTCAAAGTACCGCACTGACAGCTCTTTAATGAGCTCTTACTTAATCAGTATGAACAATGTTCATCTTGTTCTTTTTTTCCTCATGCATTAGAGCTAGGAACAGTTGGGAAAAATGAAACATCCAGCATTCATTTGAAAAATATATTGTACTTTGAAAAGTGTCTAAGCTGAGGAAGTTGCATTCTGCCCTTTAAAAGTCTGATGGACAAATTGGATTACTAGTATTGGATTAAATAACAAATGGTTAGAGGAGAAATGAGAAAAGCTCACTGTGATCACAGGCTTTAATATTTTTTGTTACTTATAAAGCTAAAGGGGTCTTTAACCAGTTATTAAAGTCAGGATTAATTTGTAATGGTTCAACTTACTGGCTTTTAAAAGCTTTTTGAATTTAAAAAATTTCAAATCCCTGAAAACAATAGTGTAATGATGTGTTAGAAGAAAATTTAATTTTTTTATTGCTAGGCTAAGTATAGATTTCCATCATTGTGTACAATCTCAGATTGTACTCAGATAAGGAATTTGTGGTACATAATTGACTTAACCTTAAATATGGTTTCTCTTCTTTTCAGTTAATTCATATAATCTATGTCACAATGTATAATGTGTCTTTACATATTATTGTTAGGCTTATTTACTTTTGAAACATAAAACTCTGATTATTAGTTATTTCCTACCAATTAGGGGAGAGGGATTTTATCCTTACCTAGGCATGAATTAAAGTGAAAATAACATAGGACCACATCAGTATTGTTATTATTAAGGAAGCAGTCTTCCATTGAAGAAAACGATGCTAATTTAAGAGTAGGCTAGTTGCTTCTAGTATTCCTGAAAGCCTCAATTATAAGTTAAGTTAAACTCAAAACAAACTTTTAATGTCTGCATTTTTAGAAGCTACTTAGGTTATGAACAGAAGAATTAAGTCTTTCATTAGAAAATAAAATATCATAGTAACTGCACCTAGTAATATTGTACACATGTGTGATTTCAGTGATCAAAAAGGCCTTCACCAGGGTACAATTGGCCTTTTTCCAAATGGCAAGCTTTTCCCCTGCTTTTTCTTTTTACTCTTTCTTCTTTTGTTGCTACCCAGGGACTTGTTCCTATCGCAGCCTATGTCACATGACTAGTGTCAAGACATCACATGGTCTAAAGTGAATACAAAACCAGCTACCCTAAAAGAGAGATTAAAAATGCTGTAAAACAATAAAGACTTTTGTTCATAACTCTAAAAGAAGCTATCTTATCTGCTCCCTACCATAAAGTTTTAACAGCATTTAATGAAGACATATATCCTCACTATTCTCCCTAATGATGAACAACAGATATCTATTTCACAAGGATGCTCTGAAGTGTATGTTTAATCTTTGCACACAGAACAGTTCTTTATCCTCTATTTTCATTCTAAATTTCTTTTCAAATTTATATCAATTTGGAAATAGTTAATTAAATGATACATTCATAATTTAAGTATTTAAAAGAATGAAGTAGATCTTCAAGCAATATGACAACAGTACATCTTTGGGTAATATACAGGGGTGGGAACAAGTAGGTTAATAATAATAAGTAATACAATAATTAATAATAATACAAGAATAAACTTGTTTCATGTACTCATAACTGTAAGCCTACTTTTGCCCACCCCGGTATGATATGATCTCATTTATGTTAAAGAAAAACCTGTACGTATCTATAGATGAGGTATATATGTGTGTGATAAACAGCTATATCTGTGGTGTGGAAGGAAACATGCTAAACCTTACTAGTACTTACCTCTGGGGAAGGATGTTGGGGTGGGATTGGTGAAAGAGGACTTGACTTTTTACTCAGTTATACCTCTGTACTGTTTAAATTTTTAAAATGTATTTGAAAGTTAAAAGAAAATATCTTCTTCACAAAGAAAATATAATTTAGGGGATTAACTGGAATATTGAATCTTAGCTGGGATATTTATTTTTTTAATATATGTTTATTGATTTCAGAAGAGAGTGGGGATGAGAGATAGAAACATCAGTGATGAAAGAAAATCATTGATCGGCTGCCTCTGCATGCCCCATAGTGGGGATCGAGCCTGCAACCTGGGCATGTGCCCTTGACTAGAATCGAACCCGGGACCCTTTCAGTCCGCAGACCAACGCTCTGTCCACTTAGCCAAATCATCTAGGGCAAAATTTTTAGTATGACCATTACTATATGAATAATATCAAATATATACTGTATATTATAATCCTTGATACAGTAGCCTTGGGGGGGGCAGTAGTATAGACGATGGAATGAATATTAGCAAAAGTGAATTTGAAAGGTGCAATTAGTAAGTTTATAATCTAAAATGTTAGACCATCTCTCTGTTCAAATGTTTTCTAATTTACTGACATTATTATGTTTATTATTATGTGTTTTTTCACAGATAGCTATAGGCATTTTTTGTAATTTGGTCATTTAAAATAATTTGCAAGTGTTTACTGTATTAGGGATGATAACTTCCAGAGTGTTATATGCAACGTATGTCTTAGTTTACTTTGGGGGAGAAAAAGAAGAGAAGAAACAAGTTGTTACAAGTGGAAACTTTCACAAAATCTCTGGACTTCTCTGATCTTCCTGCTAATATTGTACTTCTCATAATGATTTTTTAATATTTTTTCTTTATCAAGACCATATGTCTGTCAGCACCATGAGTTCCTCACTGAACTATAATAACAAATCCTCTGGGGAGGATTTAAAAGTTGGAACACTTTTCTTTTAACACTAACCTATATTAGTGTCAGTATGATCATGTACTGTCGGGGTAACTAAAATGTTTTCATGTTAGAAAAAAAAACATTTGTGCTAAACAATTATCTGCCTGCAAAAGTCATGTAACAAGAAATAACTTTTCCTGAATTATAGGAAGAAACACTGAAGAAGAAGAAGCTATGATGCAGGAATGGTTTATGTTAGTTAATAAGAAAAATGCCTTAATAAGGAGAATGAACCAGCTCTCTCTCCTGTAAGTACTCATGACTGCTTTTTTTTCCTACAACATCAGTGGATCTTAGGCTTTTGGTTACTAGTTTCTTAGGGTTTCATATTTATTAGACTTACCTTCTTCTTTCCTTAGAGATTAAAGTCTATTTTATATAAAAAATGAAAAATAGTGTAAAAACAGTTTTTATCTGAACAGTAAGAATTTAAAAAATAGGGTGCTAGATACTGAAAAAAATGTTGGCTATACAGAAAGCCAATGAATATAAACAATTTTTGTGTTTAAGAAATAAAGCATTGTGTATAAAAAGACTTGGTGTGCCTGTTAAGGGCTAAAAGGGAAAGGAAGTAAAATTGAAGTGTATTTCACATCTGATTCTAAGTTAAAAATTGAAGTAACTCTTAAGGACAAAAGTACCTTTGTCTTCTACAGATGATGTTATCTTAAATTTTGGGATAAAAGATGAGTGAGTTACAGAGAAGTGATCTTTTTATAATTGCAAGAATTACAGTAAAGTGTAGACTAAACCAAATGTAAGCATTCTTAGTCTTTAGCATTTAATTTACTATAGAACCTAATGTTTGTTCCTTTTTGCTAACTAGCAGTGTTCTTATATTATGCCACCTAGTGTGGGAAGAAACAGGCTTACATGTTTTATTTTAATGAAAACAGCTATTTCTGTCATTTCTGTTATGCCTGAACTTGAAAAAAGAATTATAAAGAAGCACCAAAATTAACCAATCCTAGTTTTATAACCGTGTCCATATTAAATTTGCACTTGTAGGACTGCCATGTTTCTGTGTTCTTTTCATACGGAGTTCTAGACAAAAGCATGTTTGTTGTGAACTATGAAAACTCTTTGACAAAATACTCTTATGCCTGGCACTTAGTACAAGAAGCATTGAAGAATGAGACTATTTATTTTCAGATTAAAATATATCTCTGTGTGATTCAAAATTGAGGGGGAAAAATAATAGCGTTAGTATTCAACCTGAGGAAGGTGTTAGATTTGTGTATCATTTGTTTGGAGTAGCTTAAAGTTAAAGAGAAAAGTCAGTTATGAGTCCTGAAATCAATGTAACCTAAAGGTTCTTTTAACTGTTTAATGATTTAGTAATTAGCATATTGATGAATTTTTGCAACTTGCCTAGGGAAAAAGAGCATGACTTAGAACGAAGGTATGAGCTGCTGAACCGGGAATTGCGGGCAATGCTAGCCATTGAAGGTAAGAAATGCTCTGGTGGAGTGGAGGTATGTGAGGTGTCAATTGTCAAGAGAGATTTAAAAGAGTGTAATACACTTCTTGTCTCCCTAGGTGTGATCTGACTAGGGACCTACAGAATTTGCAAATAAATGCCTTAGATTAAAAAAGCATTAGTCATATAAAACCTAAGGTCCTTACTAGTAATTCAGATAGATAATCATTATATCATACTTGCTATTAAAACATACGATATTCTTAACTTTTGTCAGTAAGTTTAAATTTCAATAAAATGGAAAATATAAGGAGTTAAATGATTTAATTATATAATATTATGTGCAATTTAAAGTTGTTTACACTTTAGAGGTTTGGGTAAGTAAGATTTACCATTTTGATTTTTCACATTTCAAATCTAAATTTTACCTTAATATTTAATTGATGTCAACACCGAAATATGTCACTGTCAGTCTACTATAGCTCCTATTAAGCGATTATTAAGGCAAAGATTGGCATAAGAGATAAATGAAACACTTTCATACTTTTCATAAAGCTTTTAAATGAATTAGGTAGTAATCATAAGCATAGTTCATAGTATCAGTAAACATTGGCTGTCTTGACTATAGCATTTACTATATATGATTTTTAAAAAATAATTAGGTGTTTTAGAATGCTGTTCTCTTTATACTTACTATTTGAAAATGTCTCATAGTTAAAGATGTCTGTCTGCTTAAAAGCTAATCCCTTGGGCTCTGTAAAATGGACCTTTTGTCTAATCAATGCAAATTGATTTTCCTATTCTATATTGACCTCTTAACCCATTGACTGTCCATGGTAATTTCCTTCTTTACCTGATAAGGTACCTGATCCATAATAAGTCAATTCTAATCAGTTCAAAAACTAGAAATTTAAGGTTGCAAAGGGGAAGGCAAGTGAAAACATTTTTTAAATATTTTAATTATCACTGTTATTAGATAAAATACATGCTATTTATCTAAATAGCATCTTTTACATTTATAGAAGTTTTATTTTTACTTTTATGTACATTATCTCATTTGATAATATGACTAACAGTATTTATACATACTCATTAGAAATCAGACTCATTTTAAAAGGTTTCAGATAGCTAATTTCCTTCAAGTGGCTATCCAAATGTATCAAATTATACCACAGATAATGAAAATTGTGTGTTTAATAGCAAACATAGTGATTATCTCAATAAAATTTGTCAAAAATATTTAAGAAGTTCTTTGAAACTTGTCATTGAAATAAAAAATAGAAGTATACTAAATGATATTTTTTCCTCTGGATATAATTTTTATAGTCATTGTATAATTTTTAAGAAATTGGAAAGTTGAATAGTTAGTGAAAGGTATTTATTGCAGATATGTTTACATGGAATGTATATATACGTACAATTTAAAAATGTTTGTGTATATAGTATATGTAATATATAACTCATTATACAATTTATTCTTTATAGATTCATTATACATTACATTCAATACAGAGTATTAAGAATTTGCCCACTCTTTCATGTATAATAATTAAATCATCTCTAAAACACAACTTGATACAATACAGTGGACTTTTAAGGCAGAGATTGCTTCTATCCCAAAACCAGTATTATTACTATGCACCATCTTAAAAGGAGGGCCATGAGGCATCTAGAAGATCCCATTTTCCTCAGCAGTCCTGTTCCTACATACGAGACGTACAATCTTAAATAATCTTACTTTTTTTCCTGCCTGCTCCTGTACATATGGAAGACCGGTAGAAAGCCATATGTTTTTAAGAGGGGAAAAACTAATGTTTTTCTTTTTCAAATGATTTTGATTTATTTAAAAATAATATAATTGTCCTATATGTGGTTGTGCCTCAAATCTCTCAGCGAGTTTCTGTTGCCGGTGGAGGGGGAAAAGGAGACTTGAAGAAAGAAGCAGCCTGTTGATTACAAATAGAGACCCCTTTTTAGAGAGAGGCCTGTTGCACCAGCCTGGGCAGTACTAGGGTTGAGCTGTCCTGGAGAGGTACTGACCATCCTGATAATCAGTCCTGTGAAGACAGTGTCCCCTGAGCCAATCCTTAGAATGGACATACATGTGATTGGTTCAGTAGCCTTTTGGAGTGTTTAAATACCTAGAAAAACACACTAACAGACAGCATTACTTGGTTTTGTTTTGCTTTGCATTGTTCTTGCCCATCTCTTTAAAAAAAAAATACTTAGTAGTCATACAATGGTTTTTGTAATAAACTAAAATATTTTCAAATAAATCTGCTGCTGAAACCAGGAGAAAAGCACAGAATATTAATAGCCCTAGCACATGGAACGAAATATTAACAGCTTGGTTTGAAAGCAAAATAATAATAACATTCAACATATTCATTCTTCTGAAATCCATAATTACTCTGGTCTGTGTTTTACCTTTTTTTTCTTAAGTTTTTTTTCATAGCAGGAGTTTCACTCTACTGTGCTAAGCTATAGCATCCCCTAAGCTAACAAACATCATTCAGATACTTTTCCTATAGTTTTTTTTGTTTGTTCCAGATTACTTATGCCCCTTGGAAAGGTAAATTCATTTCTGCACACATTGGGGTGGGCTTTTAGAAAGTGGTGTGTGCATTTTCTGCACAAGAAATGGATCTTCTCTAGGATTTTGTACATCTTGATTTATTCTTGGCTTAGAGTTTGAAGTGGTGCTCTTCTAAAGGGATTTATGCATAGGTTCACTATTTTTGTAGTTATGGTTTATATGATAAGCTTTTTATATTTAAAATCAATATGTAATCCTGTGGAGGAGCTTATCCCCTAAAACCCCATTTGTAAATCTATTTTAGCTTTGTTGCACAGCACAGCCACAGTCTTCCATAGATTGATTAGGTACAGAGGTAGAATCCTATCAAATGGCCTGCTCTGATGATGATGCAAACTCTTTCAGGATTGCTAGTTGACTGGAACTAAAGATAAGACTTGACTGCAATCCCCGAATGTGCTCTTTACAAAACTAGTGTTAATTTTCATCAAAGTGCCAGGCTTATTTATAGTGGCAAGGTGGAAGTTTTACTACAACAACTGTAGGTCCTTTCTATTAAAGTGTTTATAGGTATTTATTTTGCCTTTTTTCCAAGGTGATTATCAACTTCAGCAAATAAACTGAATCGAGGAATAAATAATTAACCCTATATATAAAAAAGAGGGTTTTTTTTTTAAATTAACAAAACAACTCATTGCACATGAACATAAACAGAATCTTTTTATTTCAATACTTTGGCTCAAATGCAGCATCAAAACTTAATCCTTTTTGTTGTGAGGATATGGCTTTTGTAGCAAAAATACATTGGAATCTTTAAATTAATCAGAACCCACATTGTAGTCTGTCCAACCCAAAGTCACCTAGCTAGCTAGCTGTGAGTGGAGCTATAGGTGAATAATCCTTTTTTAAAATGCAGAAGACATAACAAATAAACTTACATACAGGTTTTTAAAACATAACATTATGTCTGGATGAAGCTATTTTAAAAGTTTTTTTTAATTTTTAAATTTAGACTTGCACATACAAATTATGTATGTTTGTATAAATTTACTCCCATGAAAAGCAAGTACAAAATAAATAGTTTCCCACTGTAAAATGTACTCACTGCATATAGCTATTTCCTCTACAATTTAAATTCTAATATCAGTTAAATTTGACTGTGAAATGATAAAAATTACCTAAATATTCATAATTTTAAAATATTTTTGTTATAGTTATGGGAAATTCAGCTTGAAATTTTTTTTAATTTTTCAATATATCAAGGGTTAAAAATTTTTCTCTCTTATGCATTTTGTTAAAGCCTTGTTTTTTAAAAATTAAAGAAATCTTGATATTTCTAATTATTGATTAAACCCTTAAAAGTCACTGGTCAAGTGTAGACAAAGGCTAATTCAATGTCCGTTGTTAAAAAAAAATGTTATTTTAAAAAAATGTAAGTTTCAATTTAATTATACTTTTTAAGTATATGGTGGAGAAAATTTCCCAGTTATAAAGCTCTTATTAAAATGTTTTGGAAATAAAGATTATAAATTAAAGCTTATAATCAGCATGATTTCTACAGGTTGGAATGGAAAATTAATATTCATCAAAACTAGTAATCTCAATAATTATAAAATTTAGTTACAAATCTTTTACAAATGTAGTGGGTTTTTCTCTGAGTTAATATTTCTAGAACTACAGTTACCTGAAATTAGAGTAGATGAACTTTAAGATCTTCACCCTGGAGAGCACTATTAAAATATCTACTATGTAGAATGAGACTGATTAAGAACAAGAACCAGATTAGAAAATTGTCCAGCATTCCTGAAACTCAGTAGCATTTTAATTCAAAGAATAAAATTATGATAAAATATGACCTTCTGTCTTGCTTTTCATTTCAAATTCTTACATTTAGAAAAAACTTGTCATATTAATAATTTATTCCTCCATGTTATAGAATATTTTATTTCTTTTTTAATGAGAATGCATTGCGACCACTTATTTGTGTGATGTTTTGTATCGGATGTGGATTATTAATATATGGTATGATTTATATATTTGTATCTATGTATTTGAGCTTATAATGAAAGGAATAATGTTAAAATTGAATAAACCATACTAGCTTCTTGCTGCTATTCTAACCTTTATTGCATGATGATGTATCTAATTTTTAATTTGTAAATACAAGATAGAATTCCCTCCAGCACCATTTGCTTTCATAAAGCTGCTGAGCAGTTTGCTGTCTTGAATAAATTTTGCTTTGGAGGGGGTCGGAGGGATTTGAACCAGCACATTCTTGTGTGGTTTGTGAAGATTCACATGGTAACCAGCGGTGTGCATTGTTAGGTTTATCTGAATAAGCACCAGCCATGTGAGTTTTAACATGATTGCCCAGAGCAATGGAGAGAGGAGAGAAACCCAAAAGGATTGCACTTCTCTCTATTTTTTGGAAAGTGCGTTTGCTGGGGGAGGGGCTGCTTGAGTCAGTGGCCAGGATTGGTTTTTTTTGTTTTTTTGTTTTTTTAAGCTGGTGTCCTGTTTCCCTCTAGGTCCTCATTTGTTCTGCTATCTGCCTCATCATCTACTTCTTCTTTTCATTGTTTACCTTCCTAATGAGGGAGGCGGGGTAGACTGGGGATTGATTGACAGCTACAAGCCCTTACAGTCTGGCCAGAGAGCTGTTGGCTTTGGTTACAAAAGTGCTTTAAATGTTCGATTAGGTTCTGTTTTTATCAAACCAAACTGCTGCTCATCTTAAGAAAATAATCAGACCAGCAAAGATTAGGAAATATATTACTGGTACCTAAAACCTTCAAAAAACTGCTCCTGCCCATGTAAAGGACACTGCTCATCGGATTTTCCAACCTTTAACATGGGTTTCAAAAAGAAGTATGAAATTTTTCCCTAGCAAAAGTGCTTTGATTCGAAATCACCCAGCCAACCTCTCCAAAAGAAAACTGGCTGTGATGCGATCGAGAGCCGCAGTGTAATATTGCAGAGCAAATTTATTTTTTACTTCAAAGAAAAATGCTAATTAGCCGATTCACTACTTTTAAAGTTATTGTGAAGCATATGGCGCCCAGTGTGAGATACATCCAACTGCTGAAATAGAGCGAAGAGGAAATTAGTGAAGAATAGGCGGTATGGGGGAGGCTGGGGGCGGGAGGAGGGTAGGTTCTCAGGCAGATTCTCTAGCCCTTTCAGAAGGATTTTATCGCCCATCTCTGCTTCCCGCCCCTCACTTACCCACGTCCCCCACCACCTAGCCTCAGGCAGGCCTCTTTGGGCCTCCAGCCCCCCTCCCCCACTGTGGCTGAAAGCGGTGCGCACCTAGGCTGCCCGCCGGCTCACACCTGGTCTCTTTCAGGCTCCAGCCCCGCCGTAGCCGTCTCCATCCGCGGGAAATTTTAGAAAGCAGGGCCTTAGGGGTGAAACCTTATCTCGATGGCCAAACTCCCCACAAAACACTAGTAGTTCTATAAGATGGTTTGTGGACAAGGTCAAGGAAACTGGGGAAGGCGGGAAGGGGGGAGAGTGCGCAGGGGTCCTGCGGTGGATAACGGCCTCCCGTCCGCAGACTGGCAGAAGACGGAGGCCCAGAAGCGACGCGAGCAGCTCCTGCTGGATGAGCTGGTGGCCCTGGTCAACAAGCGGGACGCGCTCGTCCGGGACCTGGACGCCCAGGAGAAGCAGTAAGTGCGCGGCGGGCTGGGTGGAGGCTCTGCACCTGCTGAGGGGCGAGAAGTTTTCTCAAATTTCGGTCCAGAGGGACCGAATTATTCGATGGCCCCGAAGTATCGGCACCCGCTGGGCCTGGGGAAGAGGGGAGTGCCGCTCTGCCCTCCGCGAAGAAAAATAATTTCGTTTCCTGTTTGACTTCCAGGGCCGAGGAAGAAGATGAGCATTTGGAGCGAACTCTGGAGCAAAACAAAGGCAAGATGGCCAAGAAAGAAGAGAAGTGTGTTCTTCAATAGCAGCCGGCCCAAACTATAAACCCACATTTTAGTCTTGGGTCCACAGACCGGAAAGTCAGACTGGTCGTCCGTCGTCCCTTGATTTAAAACTTAACATTTAATTTGGCTGAACTGTACTTCTTTGCTACACCACCACCACCACCCCTGTCCTCCCGCCTTTCCGGTTTAAATATACAGAGCTCCCACATAGCTTTGTTTAAGGGTTTTTGTGTGAGTTAATCATTTCCTTGAAATCATGTGAGATAGATTTGCACAGATACCTTGTGAGTGATTGGTATTGGGAGTGTTCGAGAAACTGTTCACTGAAGAAAGAAAGGAGCACCCTTCCCTCATTTTTTTGACGAGAGAAATTTTAAAACATTTTTTGTTGTTAATAGCATAATAATGGTGGGAGGGGGGTCCGAGGGGAATAAGAAAAATGTCATGATTTTTTTTTTCCAGTCCTGCCATATGTAACCCTGACTCTGTTACCTAAATTTTATAGCTAGATCATATTCAATTTACTTATTAAACTGTTCTGTTTGCCAGTGGGATTTTCTGCAGTTGTTTTGCATTTCACTGTAAGGATAATAGAGTCCCTTTCCTCTGCTCTCCTCAGAGGATGGCCCTTTAACACAGCCCCAGACAAGTCCTGTGACTTAAAGGTGAGCTTTGAGGACGGGGCTAATTGACATGCATTAGTTTACAAAGAGCTCTTCTGAGAATGTGCCATCTTTTTCTCTGGGTAATTATTTATTACATCTTGCTTGGTTCCTACATTCTGTTGGCTCTCAACATTGGCTCAAGAATGCTGTTAATATTTATTCTGTATTGATAAAAAGTCTGTCTTGCCACTATGCATTAGTCTCCCAATTAATATTTTCTTCTCTAGCATAGCATTGTCATTTTTTTGTGTGAAAATGGTTATCTGTTTATTTATTACAATACTGAAGTCATATATAAATTTTCAATAAAAGCAGAAACTTTCTTACCTTAAACACTCTGCTGCTTCCTTGCAATCAGAATAACACTGATTTGAAGAAAAGCTTGTGTATCTGTGAGACTTCATGTGGGGAAAATGGTCCTTTTGAACACAGGGCGTGACACACCATCCTGGAGGGGCCCTGCTGACACACGCACTGGATTTGAAAAGCAATTAGTCATATTTTCCTGAGCAGTGTAAACTATCATCTTACGTAAAGGGTCATCTCTTTTAAAGGTATAAGGAAAATGTTGATTCCACAGCACTGAAGGGAAAAAAAGGTAATATCTTGATGAATTTTCCACACTATTATTTTAAATTGTTATAATTTTGCACTCCTGTGAAGAACTATGACTTCTGATAACTGGCGAGTCTGTAGGTGCTGAAGTGAAAGGAAGAGAATTGTTGGAGGGGAGTGAGTGCATTCAGGTGTGTGTGTGAGAGTGTGTGTGTGTGAGAGAGAAAGAGACAGAGAGAGGGAAAAGGAACTTTTAGCAAGTTCTAGGCAACAGAAATGGGCAATTTTATGGTAGTTTCCCATTACTCCTCTACAGAGGTGTCCGAAACAAAGAAGGCTAATTCAACAAGTCAGGAGACAGAGAAAACAGTTCACTAGCATTTACACTTTGGCCTAGATCACACACATACACACACGTAGTTACACATGCACACATACACATAACTTCCCCTCAAAAGTGTGCAGCGCCTTCAGTTGCCAGTCTTTCAAAACGGCAAAAACTTGCTACGGTAGAGTTTCTTCACGGCAAAGATTTTAAGAAGTTGTTGAAAAGTTATCGGGACTCGGTGAAATCGGGTATTTGTCCTCTTTATTCGAGCAGGAGAAGAGAGGAGCAGCCCTCCCTGGGGAAGGCTCTCGGAAGCCGCTATGAGCCGGGAGGCGGCAGACGGAAACCGCCGGCCCGGAGCAGCCTGAGGTTCGGGCGGCCGGCGGGGCCCACCCCATTGGCGCTGGATTCGGGGAGCCTTCCCTTCCCAAAGCCCCCAGAGAGCCGGCTCCCCGGAGCCCTAGACGTGCCGCCCCGGCCCCTCCCGCCCAGGCCGGCCTCGCGGGCTTTGCTTTGTGGCGCCCGCACGCCCCGCAGTGGCGGCGGCGCGCGGACCCCGGGCCCGGCCGGTCCGGCCTCCCCCAGCGCAGGCGCGAGCCCGGAGCCCAGGAGGCCGGAACCCGGAGCCCGGCTGCGGCCCAGGAGCCCGGGGCCCGGGGTCTCCCGGGACCTGGAGGTTGGCGGCGGGCTGGCCTGGCACAGCCCTCGGGCCGGTGCAGAGCTGCCGCGCCTGGCCCGCGCCCCACGGCCCCTCCCCCGCCCCGAGGGTCCCCGGAGGCTGACCGGCCTCGGGGCCACCTGGATGCCGGGTCCGGGTCCCCGAGCCCAGCCCCACGCCTCCCAAAGGCCGGGCGGGTCCACCTGCCCGCCCCCTGCGATGCCCCCTCTCCTCCTCCCGTGGCTGGAAGGGCCGCGGCTCCCACCTGGGCAAGTGCTAGTGACGCCGCCTGGTCCTCCACGCCGAGTACAAGAAACTTTCTCTCCCTCCCTCCCTCTCTCTCTCCCTCTCCCTCTCCCTCTCCCTCTCCCTCTCCCTCTTTTCCTCTCTCCCTTTCTCTCTCTCCCTCCCTCCCTCTCTCCCTCTCTCTCCCCCCTCCTCTTCCCTCTCCCTCTCTCCCCTCTCCTCTCTCTTTTTCTTCTCTTAATCCCGGGGTTTACGGGTTGAGCATTAGGAGAACTCGCCTGCAATGTGGGGATTAGATAAACACCCTCATTAGGGGTGTGTGTGGAGGAGGGATCCTGCTCCTCCATTCCTCCCGCTTCTCCGGGCCCCGGCGGCATCTGGAGCGGGAGCGGCGGGCCCCGCGCCGGGCCCTGGGGACCGAGCGCCGAGCGCATTCCAGCGCCCGCCGCGCCGCCCGGCCGCGGGCCACGGGGCCCGAGGAAGCGGGAGCCGCAGGGGCGGCGGGAGGCCAGCACGCCCCTCCTCCCCCCGAACCCAGGGCGCCCCGGCCCGCGCCTTCCCCCCGGAGGGAAGGAGGGGGTGCATTTCGTTTTCTTTCTTTAAACCTCTGCGCCCGCTCCCAGCGGGGCGGGGTGGGGGCGGGGGGCGAGGGGGTGGAGGGCTCGGGCCGCGGCCCCGAGGGCGGCTCCCCGCCGCGGCCTGCGCGAGCCCGAGGTGCGTCCCGGGCCCGGTCCGTCTCTTCCTCGTTAAACTTTTCTTTCCCGCGTTCTGCCCTTTTCTCCCGCTTCTCTGATTGTTTTCCCTCCGTGTCTCTGACGCTCCCCCTTTTGTGAATGGGCCGCGGCGCCTTTGTTCCGAGGAGAGACGCCCGTGTCGCTGACTTTTGTGAACCAGAGAAGGATCTTGTAAAACCCCTTTCTCTCCCCCGCACTCCCCATTCACACCCCTCCTCCCGGCCCCTTTGATTCGATGTTCCCTCCTCGTCCAAAAGGGAAAAAAAAAAAATGTAATTTCGTGGGTCCGGCGGCCACTTTCTTTGAACATTAGCTCGCTTTCAGTTCCAACTTCAATTAGAAGGAGTTGATTTTGAGAGATGGACAAAAGGACCGGCCAAAGCCTTATTAAAGGTCCTCAGAAGATCCGCTGGGCCCTTTGAGAGGCAGTTACGGAAACAGTGTGCCCTCCATCATATTCTGTTACCGTATTTTATCCGGGCTCCAAAGGAGAGTGTCGCTGGGGAGGAGGGGGGCAGCGCTTTGATGAGCGGCGGCCGCGGCCCCTGTGCGCCCCGCGGGCTCCCCCTGCCCCGCGCCCGGCGCCCGCCGGCCCCGCGGCCCAGGCCCTGCGGCTCCCGGACCCGCCCGCACCCACTCCCGCCCCAACTTTCCTCCCCGCCCGAAGGGCTGCAGGGGAGCGGCGGCGATTCGGGAAAAGGGCAGGAATTCCTCGAAAGGCAGGAAAGTGCCTCATATTCAGAAGGAGGTGCCACTGAGAAGAATGGCCTTGCTCAGGATGGCGCCCAAAAACACTTTTTTTCTTCTTCTTTTTTGCGTTTTGCAAAAAAAGTCCACCCAGGTGGATGCGCCTGAGAAGTTGTGTTCGGCTGGAACGCGGGCTTCTCCAGTACGAACAACACGGGAGACCGGCCCGGGAGGCTCCTCTGCGGCACGAGGAACGGGGGGAGGAGATAAGGCCGGGGTCTGTGGCCCGGGGTCCCCCCAAACTGCCTCGGGCAGGAGGCGGCAGAGTAGGAAAGAGAAAGTTTCCCATCAAAACCTTTCGATTCACCAGTAGTGTGTGTGCAAGGGGGAGGAGACGCGGGGCTCCGATGTTCCAGGAGAAGCGTTAAGATTTGCAAATATCCTCCGGGGGGGGGGGGGGGGGGCGGGGAGGGGAAGGGACCTGGAAACCCTAGGAAACACCGAGGACGGGCACGCTGCGCGGGGGGCGGCGGCGCCGGGCGGGAGCTCGCACCCCGGGCGGACGGAGCAGCCTGTGCCGGCACGAGCCGCCCGCGGCGCCGTCTGCAGGTGGCGGCGCCCGAGACGACGCCGGGGCCCGCGGCGGGACGCGCGGGGCCGGGGCCGGGGGCCCGCTCCCCTCCCGCACGCGGCGCCGCAGTCCCCGCGCCCACACCCGGGCCCACGACCGGGTGGGCAGGCGCGCGGGGGAGCGAGAGGAGAACCGGTTCTCCGGCACCTCGCCTCCTCCGGCCACTCCCTCCGGGGCGCAGAGAGGGCGCGGGGAGGGCGGGGGCCGGGGCGGCCCAGGGACCGGCGCCCCGCTCCGCGCCCCGGGCTTCCCAGCCCGGCTCCGAGCGGCGTTTGCCAGCCGAGCCCCGGAGTGAGCGCGGCCGGGGCGGGGCGGGCGGGCGAGGGCGGGGGGCGGGGGCGGGCGGGAGGGCGGGGGCGCGGAGGTAACCCCGGGCGCGGGCTGCCATTGCCCGGCTCCCTGTCACTCAGCCCGCGCGGGGCCCGGGATTGGCAGCCCGGCCCCGTTACGCACTCACCTCGCGTTCACATACCCGGGGAGGGCAGCAGAAAGGTGATCAATCTTCATCAGGCTACATTTCCAATCACCTAAACAACCGAGCAAGACAAGCCGCTCCGACAAGGTAAAGCGCTTGATTTATTTAGTTTGCAAAGTGCCTCTGCAGGACTTTCCCTGCCCCCCAGCCCCCCAGCCGCCTCCACGCTGGACCGGGAGCGCAGCGGCCACTGCGAGCCGCCCCCCATCTCTGCCCCGCTCACCCCCACCCTTTCCCCCCCCCAACCCCCACCCCGAGGCCCCTCGGCGGGGTCCCGGGCGAGGTAGTGTCTGTCTCGGGAGCGTGTGGGGCTTTGCAAACAAAGTGTCTGTGCAATAAAGTGAAACCTGGAGGGACAGGCACAAAGCCAGTGGGAGAGAAGAGAGGGAGGAGGAGGGAAGTGGGGGAGAGAAAGAAGTCCGGGGGTCCCGGACCCCCTGCAGGCCGGCGGGTGATGGGTCCCCGCGCCGCTCCGTTTTGCAGGGTGGCTGCCGGCGGGCCGGTGAGGGCGCGGAGCGGATGGTGAGCGGCCCCGGCGGGCGGCGGAGGGCAGGTAAGGAGAGAGCCGCCGCGGGGCCGCCCTGCGCTCCGAACACAAGCGGGGTGCCCTCGCCTCCCCGTCTTCAGGCGGGTCCCCGATTCCCAGGTTCCCGGCAGGTGTGGGGCGAGAATGGGGGGGCGGGCGGCCTGGCTCGCGTCTGGGTGTGCCCGCCAACCCCGGGGCTCCGCCGCGGCCCCGCGCCCCCGCCTGCGCCGAAGTCACCGAGCAGAAGTCAGTGCTAAGTTTGATCAAAGTCTCTGCAACTCACGCTGCAGCCCAGCAGCGTCCTCGTGGCCCGAAGGTCCCGGCTGTTTCCCTTTCTTCCCCTTCCCTGCAAATGGGGTTCCCCAGCCGGGGGTCCCCCAGGAGCGGAGCGGGAGGCGCGCTGAGCTGGGACTTCTCACCCTGCGCTCCCCGCGCGGCGCCCGGGCCTGCGCGCAGCTGCCCTGCAGCTCGGGAAGCGACAGGTCCTCCTCCAGGGCCCAGTCCGCTCCCCGATCCACGCCGCTTCCTGCCTCCCCAGAGCGGTGCCTCGGGCTCGGGGCAATCGGGGGAGCCCAGCTCCGACCCCTCCCGCACCCCAGTCCGGGCCAGCTCTAGCGACGCCGCCGCCGGGCCTAGTTCTCTGGGACCGACAGGGCGCGGGGGCCGCGGCTCAGCTCGCAGGGCAGGCGGGGAGCACGCGGGACCTGCTTCCCTCCCGCCTCCCCAATCTGCCAGGCCCTTCCTTCGGGGCACAGTCCCCGGCCGGACCCCGTTGCCCACACCAGGACCCCCAGGAGAAATCGGAAAGAAATCAGAACCGCTGGAGTTGGTGAAGAAAGGCCTGGGCTCGGCCCTAACCAGGCGCCCCTAACCTGGGGCCGGGCCTTAGAGCCGCCCGGGCTCCTGTGGCCCCTTCTGCGCCTTCTGGCGGCTCTGGGGGACCTGGGCCAGTGAGTGCGGCTGGGGTGCAGGGGGATTTGGGGTGAGCACTCTTTCGGCGGCTAAGCACAGAGAGAGGCCCACTGGAGGGCTGGCTTGTGGGCGCTCCGGGCCGGCACCAGCCTCCGCGTCCTTTGAAGAACCGTCCTCTCCTCCTCTGCGCCCTCCGTCTGGGGTAGGCCCAGGTGCTGCAAGCACCTCTGGGTTCTCTGTCATCTCCATCGTGTCTTCTCGCTTTCGAAAACATTTCAAACAAAATGAAACAACAGCCCCTCACCCCCTGGGCGCCTGCCGCGGGGCCCGGTGCACGTTTGCTGTGCGATGTGGGGCCGGCTTCGGCCCGCCCGCCCGGCTAGAATTTCCCTTGTTTTGGGGCCTCGCACCCTCCGCGGTTCAGACGCCGACCTCTCCGGCCCAGTCCTGCCTTTACCTTCTCATTCCCAGCGATGCCCTCCGTGTCTCTCTGGCCCGGCCCAAGCTCCAAAAGAGGGGCCGCTGCCGGCCCAGAAAAGTTTGCTTGTTGGAGAAGTCTTGGTCTTTGGACTAAGGAAGGGCCTTGTCCAGCCGAATGGACCGCCCCGCACAGTCCATAGCCCGTGTCCCCTCCCCACCCCGCGGCTCCTTGCCTCCAACAAGACCAGGAAGCCGAGAGAGAGGGCTGCGAATGAGAACCAACGACTCTGTCCTTGTGTCTCCTGTCTCCGCAGGCCGAGCCCCAAGACCCAGCAGAGCCTGAAGGACTGACAGCGCGGTGGTCGCCCCGCCTTGCGCCCGGCCCCCTGGATCCGTCGGGGCGCCTTCACCCGGCTGTTAGCATGATGTCTTACCTCAAACAACCCCCCTATGGCATGAACGGGCTGGGCCTGGCAGGGCCCGCCATGGACCTCCTGCACCCCTCCGTGGGCTACCCGGGTGAGCACCAGGCCCCACCCAGCCTCAGCCCCTGCACATCCCTGGGGACCCACAGGCTCTTGGGTTGGAGCACACAGTTGGCTAGGGAGCAGGCCCGGGGAGCCAGGTCTGTTTATCAGGCAGGGCCCGCTGCAGGCTCTCAGGGCAGAGTGTGCCGGGCGGTGAGGGGGCCAGGGCGGTGGCAACTGGGCAGCGGGCACACTGGGACGGGGCCATACCGACCCCCCTGCCTCCTGTTGCGGCCCCGCCGCCAGCAGCAGCACAGCCATTCGTTTCCCCGTGGCTTTTATTGGGGTGTACACGTGTGAATCTCTTCCTTTACCCCCAACGCTGAATGAGGAATCTAGACACTCTCCCAGAGCTGTCCCAGGAAGCGACTGGCTGAGCTGAGGGCTGAGGACGGGGATTCTCTCTCCCTAAATTGTCCTCCAGACCTGCCGCCTGCACCAACTTTTGTGCCGCTGATTGGATGGCGGGAGCCGGATTCGGGCTCTCTTGTCTAGCGCCGCTCTTTCGCTCCCATTTATTCCCTTGAAAAGTGTTTTCCAGGTGGTGGTTCTGTGCACCCCTGCCCCAACCTCCAGCCAAGGAGTTTGTTGGTGCGTGCGTGTGTGCGTGTGCATGTGTGTGCGTGTGTGTGTGTGTGTGTGTGTGTGTGTGTGTGAGTGTGTGTGTGTGTGTGAAGGAAAACTGCATAATTCCTCTTCCTTTCTTAACCTGTGAGAGGTGGGGCAGGGGGCAGCCCAGCCTCAGATGGTGGCTCGCACACACGCACTCTCTGCCACCTGTGGCCTCTGGGGCTCGGCCTCCTTTGCTGGGCGCTCGACTTCCTTTTCCGACGTCTCCGCTCGGGGCCTGCCGGGGCCTGGCCGAGCCCTCCGGGTCCCGGTGGCCGGCGCTGACCCGCCCGTGTCCCCGCAGCCACCCCGCGGAAGCAGCGGCGGGAGCGCACCACGTTCACGCGCTCGCAGCTGGACGTGCTGGAGGCGCTCTTCGCCAAGACCCGCTACCCCGACATCTTCATGCGCGAGGAGGTGGCGCTCAAGATCAACCTGCCGGAGTCCCGAGTCCAGGTGCGCACGCGGGCGCTCCAGGTCAGGATAGGGGTGCGGGGCTGGGGTCTGGTTTTGGGGCGGGCTTACCAGACGGGGCGGTCCCTCCCAGACCCCCACCCCCACCCCCCTATTCCCACTCTGGCCCTGAGCCTGGAAGAAGGGGACAGAGTTAAAGGAACTAGCTTAGAGCCCCGGATTCGGCCCTGGGCCCCAGGGCACTCTGGGTATCAAAGGTCCCTTTTAGGATTGCGGGAGAACAAAGAGGCTCCGAAGGTAAAGTGCCCCGAGGGCCCCACACTGGCCCCAGTTCTTCGGCCTCCCCGGGCTGGGCAGGCTCCCCCCGGGGTCCTGAGTGCGGCCTCCACCCTCGCCCTGCACCCCGGGAATCCTGAAAGCAGAGGAGTGGCGCTTGGCCAGAGCCTGTGCCCTGTCTGGGAGGTGGCTCCGCGGGTAGTTAGTGCCGGTTTAATTAGACGCTTCCTCAGATGCCGAATGCAAAACCGGGCGATGGGCTTTGCGATGAAAGAGCCCCAAAAAACATTGTTTTGATTATAACTCAGAACTCCCCTCGGGGGGCCTTGGGGAGCCTTTTATCTCGCCTTCTTTTCTCGAAGGAGTCTGGAGAAAGTACCAAGGATGAGTGCAATGCCAAGTACCAGGGCCTCCAAGATGAGGGAGAGACTCCCGATTGTACCATTAGCGCCCCCCCTCTCCCCTCCCCCAGCCAAGGAGCCCAACGAAACTCTGCCCAGGCTTCCCTGCCTCGTCTCCCACTTCAGCTTCCTCCTTTGCTCCCACTCTCACCCCAATTCTCGCCCTGCCCTCCCCGGGCCTCCCTCCCGGGCCTGCCCACTGGCTCAGGCCTCAAACTTGGTGACTGCCCCCCACTTCCCGGCCTGCGCCTGCCTCCCGGCTGTTTGCTGCGCCCCAGCCCTGGCAGCCAGAGCTCCAAACCCACTGGGCTGCTGGGAACAGCCACGGCAGCAGTTCAGAGGTGGCTGGACTTGTGCTGGACCCACGCAGCTGTCCCCCCTTGGGCAGAGCTGCTGTGTTACACCCCTGCTTGGCCAGAGGAGGTCTCGGAGCAGTCGGAGGGGGGCGGGCGGAGGAGCTGGAAGGCAGGGGCTGGGGCAGGGGCTGGCCAGGCCGGACATGGGGAGGGGCGGAGGCCTGGGTAGGAGTTCCAGGCGCGATCCGAGGCGGGGTGGCGGGCCCCGGGGGCGGGGAGATCCCCAGCTCTCCTCGGTGACTGACCCTCTCTCCCGCCGGCCCCGCCGCAGGTCTGGTTCAAGAACCGCCGCGCCAAGTGCCGGCAGCAGCAGCAGAGCGGGAGCGGCGCCAAGAGCCGGCCGGCCAAGAAGAAGCCGTCGCCGGCGCGCGAGAGCTCGGGCTCGGAGAGCAGCGGCCAGTTCACGCCGCCCGCCGTGTCCAGCTCCGCCTCGTCCTCCAGCTCGGCCTCCAGCGCGTCCGCCCACCCGACGGCGGCGGCGGCGGGGGGCCTGGGCGCGAACCCGGCGGCGGTGGCCGCGCCCGCGGCGTCCCTGAGCGCGCCGGCCGCCGCCTCGTCCATCTGGAGCCCGGCCTCCATCTCGCCGGGCTCGGCGCCCGCGTCCGTGGCGGTGCCCGAGCCCCTGGCCGCCCCGGGCAACGCGTCGTGCATGCAGCGCTCGGTGGCGGCGGCGGCGGGCGCGGCCTCGGCGGCGGCCTCGTACCCCATGTCGTACGGCCAGGGCGGCGGCTACGGCCAGGCCTACCCCGCGCCCTCCTCCTCCTACTTCGGCGGCGTGGACTGCAGCTCCTACCTGGCGCCCATGCACTCGCACCACCACCACCCGCACCAGCTCAGCCCCATGGCGCCCTCCTCCATGGCCGGCCACCACCACCACCACCACCCGCACCCGCTGAGCCAGTCCTCGGGCCACCACCACCACCACCACCATCACCACCACCACCAGGGCTACGGCGGCTCGGGGCTCGCCTTCAACTCGGCCGCCGACTGCTTGGATTACAAGGAGCCCGGCGCCACCGCCGCCGCCGCCTCCTCCGCCTGGAAACTCAACTTCAACTCGCCCGACTGTCTGGACTACAAGGACCAGGCCTCCTGGCGGTTCCAGGTTCTGTGAGCCCGGGAGCGGGAGAGGAAGAGGAAACGAAACTACCTGCGCTCCCTGTGGTCCCCCCGTCCCGCTGCTGCTGCTGCTGCTGCTGCTGCACCCCCGCCTCTGCCTCGGCTTTTCCACACCTGATCGCGACGCCCTGGAAGATGCCCACTGCCTGCACCGCCGCCCTCCCTCCTGCCGCTGGCTGGGGTCGGAGGGGCCGATGCGCCCACCCCCTTGGATGCAGGGACCTTGGATGCTTTGCGCTTGGCCCACAAGGTCTACTTGCGCCCACCGGACCCCGGATGCACCTCCTCCAGTCTCTCTGGACACTTCGCACGCACTGGCAGCCTTCGGAGGCTCCTGGCTCTGACGGGCTGATGGAGCCCCACACTTTTTATTTATTCTTCCTGGACCCCGGCGTCACCAACTGGCATGGGTTTGCCCATCGGAGAGCACCCACATTCTCCTCCCAGACAGCCACCGAGTGTTCTTCCCTCCTGTGCAGGCCGCCGTCCCTTCCTCTGCTCCGGGCCGCTACCCGCCTGCAGGCCGGAGCTCCGGGCTTCTCCTCCCCCTCCTCCTCCTCTCCCCCCCCCCTCCTCCTCCAACTCCTCCTCCTCCTCCTCCCCTCTCCGCAAGATGGGGGTTGGGGGCAGGCCCCTGGGGAGCAGCCCCTGGTCCCCGCGCCCCGCCCCGCCCTGCGCGCACTCCCGCCCCCCCAGCGGGAAAGCTGTACAGAGTCGGTCCGTTGCAGGGACCCCTGAACTTTTTAGTTGCTGTTGGTTGATTGAACTGAAGCCTATCTCGTTTTAGCGCCCAGGAAATAGAACTTTAAGATATATATAAGCATATATATATATACCTATACACACATATATATATAAAACAAAAGCAAAACTATGTCCCTCTGTTCCCCCTGCTTCCCCAAACGATGGCGCGTTTACTTCTTCAGTTGTTCAGAGCTGCCCTGCCCTCACACCTTTCTCCTGTTTGTATTTATTAAAACACCCTTTGGCGCTGAGGACCGGAGGGCGGGCCCGGGGGTGGGGAGGACGCAGCCAGGCCGAGTTACCGGGGAGGGGGCTGGGCTGGGCGCGGGGCTGTGTCCTTCAGACAAAAAAAAGGGGGAGGGAGAGAAAAACATTTTATGGAAAAACGGAGGACAAGCCCAGGTCCCAAACCCCAGAACCCCTCCCGCAGCCCCGTCTTGTCTGGTGAGTTCCTAGTGCTCCTTCGCGCTTCTGGGTCCGCGGGCCGCCGGCGCCCGTGTGTCCATTCTGGCTTCTGCCGTCTCGTCCAGTAGGTGGGAAAGTAATTTGTAAATTTAATTTGTCCGATGTGAAGACCACAAATTACTTGTTGAAATGTGAGGCAGCCCCCCCCCCCCCATCCCGTTTATCGACATGATTTCCCCGAAAATAAACGCAAGTTCGTGACCGGCTTGTCAGTGTGGCTCTTCTGCACCCAGGTCTCGGGCCCTGGGGGGGCGGGTAGGGTAGGGGGTGTGAAGCGCGGCTTTCCGCGTTAACAGCCGCGTGTGAACAGTCGGTCGGTGTGAAGCTGGAGGCCACAGGGCAGGGCGGGGGGACGGGCAAGGGGAGTCCCAGGAACGTGTCCTCCCGTCCGGGTCAGGCGGGCCTCTCCCCCTCGGGCGGTGTGACCCCGCATCCCCTCCCGCCATCCAGGGCCCAGACAGGTGTCAGGACTCAATCCCCGGAGCCATTCCTTTCTCTTCAGAGGCAGGAGCCTGGCAAGGATTTCTTCACCCTAATTGCTCGCACCAGAAAGGAGAGGGGAGGGGAGGGGAGGAGGAGGGGGTCGGGAGGCGGGAAGGGATAACTCTGCAATGCTCTCAGAGCTGAGCCAAAAAGAACAAGAAAACAAAACGACACCCCCCCCCAAAAAAAAAGAAGAAAAAGAAAAAAAAACCACCCAAGTGATCCGTGTCCTGCACGTTGGCAGCAGACACCCTTCCCTTCTGCGGGGCCGCGCCGGGAGGGGTGGGGTGGGCCCCCGGCAGGCTGGGGGATCCTTGGGAAGCCTGGGCCCTTTCCAGAAGGAGCCAAGGGTCCCGGTGCGACCTGTGAAGTTGGAAACGCAAACGTCGACAGCAGTGGGCGCTCAGGCTAGCAGCAGGAGGTCGGAAAGGGAAGATGGGAACTCGTGGAGGGGGAGATGGAGAGGGGTGATCCCCCCGAAACTCAGAGCCGAGCTCCCCGACTCTGGCCTGAAGCCTCCTGGCGGAAGGCCGGGAAGCTGCCCGCCTGCGCACGGGCAGGACGGAGATAAGGAAACAACGAAAAGTTCCCCGCGGAGGGACCCACACACCCGGGTCTTCTGATTCCGAGTGCGGCCCTCGGGGAGGCCGCCCCCTCCTCCCGGGGCCCCGCTCCGGGCCCGCGCCGGCGGGGACCGCCTTCCCGGCCGCGCTCCCTCCGCCGGCGCGGCCCCTGCGCTCCCGCGACCGCCCGCCGCCCGCGCCGCAGCGGCCGCTGGGGGGCGCCCCGGGCCCCGCCGCCCCGGAGGGAGGCCCCGGGGGCGGCTCCTCCTTAAAGCCAGGCCCGGGCGGACCTGCGTGGGCGCCCGACCCTCGGTGCGCGGCCGGCACGTGGGGCGGCCCAGCGCAGACGCGCCCCGGCCTCGCCAGAGGCGCCGGCGCCGGCGCCATCGGAGACCCCGGTGCCGGGCGCCCCGCGGGCAGGGCGCAGGCCGGTCCCCGCGGCTGCCGGGCCTGAGGAGAGCGGAGCCGGCTTTGCACCTGCGGGAGGGACGGCCGTGCGGCCTCGGAGCCAGGTACCGACTCGGCCTGGCTTTGGCCGCATCTGTCATCCGCCCACGGGGCCGGCGGCCCGACCTCACCCCTGGAGGCGGGTCCTGTGGCCCCGGCACCTCTTCTCATACCCGGTGCCCGCGCCCTCGCAGGGACGGCGGTGCCCGGAGCCGCAGGCCTGGCGGGATTCAGCCCGGATGGACGGGCGGACGGACGGACGGACGGGGCTTCGAGAGGAGCACGTGCTGCCCGGGCCTCCAGCCCGTGCCAGGCCCCGCGGCTGCCGGCCCGGGAGCTGGTGCGGGGCCTGGGGCCGGGGGCGCGGGAGCTGGAGGGGGAGGCAGGGCGCGGCGGGCGGAGGGCCTCCCAGCCCGGCCACCTGGTCACCCGCAGGTGTGGGAGCCCGTCCTCAGCTGCCCCTTCTCCGGAGGGAGGGAGGGGACGTGTGGGGTTTGGGGTTTGGGGTTTGGGGTTTGGGGGCGCAGGTAGAATGGGAGCAGTTGGAGGAGATGAGCAACTTGTTAAGTCTCCGCAGTTTTCTCGCTTTGGGTTCAAGGAAATCTTCCCGTTTCCTGCTCACAGCGGAGGTGCAGCCTGAAGGGAACGTGGGTGAGGGCCTTAGGGGCACAGGGTAGGTCCTATTGGGGATTAAAAAAGAAATTAAAACCATCTCGAGAGAGCACCGCTTAACTTGCGGAAACTCTGAAAGAGTGGGCGCAGTAACCCCGTTTGTGGCGGAGCTTCCCAGTGCGCGAAGGGTGTGTGGAGACATTGCCCCAAATTGAGCGCGTTTTTTTTCTTTTTAAGAAGTCCTCACACCTGCGAGGAAACACAGGTGAAAAGACTCTGAATTTAGTCAGCAAATTCGTGCCTGTTACATGACAGAAACAAAAAACCTGAGTGGTTTCATTTATTGTATCGAAATGACTAGTTTTTCATGTATTTTGCTCAATAGAGCAGTTTCCCAGGAAAGTTGAGAATTTTTTTTGAAAGTTGTGGAAATAAATGATAAAATCCCTACTCCGGCAGAATTAATTAATGCTATTGATGTCATTAGGCAGTGATAGGGACGAAGAATTTAGAGATATAAAAATAAAATACATCTGGTATATGAAATATAGTTAATATATACACTATTGGTAAAGAAAATCATATCATTACTATTCAAGACCAAAAAAAAAAAATCACTTGGCTTCTGTTGCAGAATTAATTTAAGATCAGCAACAAGATAGCTTTATAAAATCCCTTAATTGAAACTGAACTTCTCAAGTTATTTTATGTTTTCCACACTTTTCTCTCTTTTCCCCATACATCTTAATGTCTGCAACGAGAATGAAGAAAGTGCTTAAATTTAACCAAGGAATATTTGTATTCAACAATATCATACTTAAGGTAAAAACCACTAGCTAGAAAATGAATACCAAATAATAACAACGCTTTGCTTGTTTGACAACAAGAAACCTGATTCATTGTCTTTAAGAAAGAATAGTTTAATTAAATGTGTGGGTCACTGGAATATACTTATTGAAAAGGAGAAGCTTTGGGGGCACTCTATTTGGTTCCTGAAAAAGCAATTATGCCTCTTAATCATCCTGTTAACATTTACTGAAAAAAAGATAGATTTTTTTTTTTTTTGGTGGAAAGAGAACATGCCATTTTGACACAATGATTATTTATTTAAGCATGCTTTATAAGTAAGTTGGATTTTTACTTAAAACACATTAGGTCAGTCTTTTCAAAAGTTTTTTTTTTTTTTTAAATATTTCCCAGGAAACTTCTAGTAATTTAGGTAAAATGACAATTACATAGGATAGCCAAAGTGTAAACTGCTTTTAAATGTATCCATTTTTTCCTTAGGAAAAGAATAAAGCAAGGAAGTGTATGATGTGCTCATAACTACAGTGTATATCCCTCTAATTATGAAATTATACTTTCATGTTTCTAGGACTATTGCTTCAAAGATTAGGATATGCTTAAAATATTCTAGAGTTTTTTTCTGATCAAGTAGGATTTAGGCTTGATTTGAATAATGTCAACCCACCAATATTTTAAATGTTGAAAATCTATTGTGTTTTAAAAAATTGTACTTCTCCTATCCCCTTTGGATAATTTACTTGGTGGCTAATATAATCAGACACAAAATTCCATTCCATTTCAGAGATCATAAGTACTTTGTTTTCCAAAGGTTATTCTTTATTAAATAGCTTATGAAACTATTTTTAGAAAATTTTAGAAATTCTTTTAAAGTAGA